ATACCTCTCCTTTAAGAGATGCAGGAAATGCTCAGGAGAGGAAATAGACACAGTTTATGGTAAATGTATCAAACCATGAAGATACATATTTGCTGTGATTACACTTCAGTGATCTTGGCTCATGCAGCTTGTGTTCTGTAAAGTGACTCTTGAATATTTCAACTTAAAAGGATTTCTGTGCACTCTTTAGCTATGCCTTATCATTAACCTAAATAACAGTGTTTTGATTTCTTACCCGGATCATCTTGACTTGGACTCCATCTTGGAAAAAATACCAAATCTGAGGAGCCACTTCCTCCCAGGCTTTCCCCATCGTCCTCAGCCGCTCCAGCTCTTCAAATGTTGTGTTTGCCTGCAGGAGGGATGAAAGTGTGTGTGTGTGTGTGTGTGTGTGTGTGTGCATTAACATGTAAGTTAGAATTCTGGGAGAACAAGTTAAAAAACACAAAAATAAGCATGCACATAATTATTTCTGCAGACATAAATCTGGGCACACAAGATCAGAAACATTGGGACAAAGGCGAAAAACAAATGTGTGCAGTCATTGGGGGGGGGGGGATTCCCGCCTGTAAACACGTGCACATGTGTACACAACATTCAGACCCTCCGATTCACACACTGTCACTGAGCCGCTAATCTCCTGCTACATACCATTCCCACATCAAACTCGCTGTGAAAACAGGCTCTGCAAAGACAACACTCACATTCTCACACTGAGAATTCCCGCGGGCTCACTCTGAAAACCAAACTGTGCAACAAATGTTCCCTGTGCCAGATTGTCAAATATTTACTGCACACTTATCATTAAAGAGCCCGGGTGTGTGTGTGTGGGTCTGTGTGTGCTTGAGTACAGTGCTTTGTGAGGCAAATGGCAAAGGCTGGCTGTTTCAGTATTCAGTCATGTGCAGTGGGGGATGAAAGCCTTCAAGAGTACACCCAATTAAACGCCTTCCTCTTGTGTGTGTCTGATTTCGGGTGACAATGGGGACAATGGAGCCGGGGTGACAATGGGGGCCGTTGGTGACAACTGGTTGAATGCATTCAGCCTGCCCAGTGAATCCCAGTCAGGTTCCCACAAGTGAGCGCTTCCTCATTCCCGGGAGCAGTTTAAAACAGCAGGCAGAGACGGAGGAAGGGGGGGGTTCCTTTAAAATGAATTCTTGCAGGGGTCAGTTAAGGGCTCTTGATGTATATGTCCATGATTTGGTCCAGTTTGTGCCTAACTATAAATATATATGTATGTTGCAATAAAGGGATCACTGTGCACGTTTTGTTGTTCAGTTATTATTTAGAAGTTCTATCTATGCTTCTTAAATAAGTTTAAAAAATAACGAGATTGTTAAAAGGTTCAACAGCATCATACATTTGTTTTCTTTCATCCATACTTCTTATTTCTGGTGTTTGATGAGCTGAACAGCCAAACAATCAGCTGCGTTTCCTGCAAAGTTATCACTTCACTATTACCAAAGTGCCTCTTCTTGTTTTTGTCCCTGACGGGTTCATGTTGTTTTTGATGCAAACAGAAACAGACTTCTCTGTTGAGGTAAGCTCCTATTTTTGAATTCAAAACTACCTTCCTCAGACCAACCAGACTGAACAGACTGACACAAAAACTGTCATCTAACTTGGCAGAGCACAGCACGAGCTGGTCTGTTGCTGCATCAGTTTGTGACTTTAGAAAATAACTCCAGAGAACAAAAAGAATCAGGCTGCTGTTTTAAGAACTCTCTGAGTCTGTCAGTGTCGGGGTGCATACAATTCTTCATGGCATGTTTTCAGTCTTCACAGCCTGTAGCATCTTCTGGAGTCAAAACTGCAAATTCATATCTCTGCTCGTCAACATAATGGTAGAGTAACTGTGTGTGTGTGAGCAAAAAAAGTCCAGTTAGGATCGTTAGCACTGGTGCTAGTTTGGATAAATCTGCCATCGCACTAATGACGTCACAAGAACTAAACTCTGTTTTCTCCGTCTACACAGAAACACCTTAAACTGAGTTTCTGAATATCTTCATTCTGAAGGAGTTTTACTTAAGGACAGTTTTCACTGACCTAAAATCCACATAGAAAGAGTTCCGTTTGCAAAAAAATACCCGCCTACGTGTGGACGACGCCTTAGACCCCAAAACGTGCTAAATTTAAAAAATAGGGTCCAGGTTTGAAATACAAATTCCTCTTTAGCTATTCGATCACACCAAACAGTTGACTCTGAATCTTAAAAAGGTCAAATATATATTTATGACACAAACATTCAGCTGGACTTTAAAACTTGGTGATGTTTGGCTGACATGACAAAAGCTCCCGTTTCACAAGGTGACTCAGTAAAATGCTGCTTGTTGCTAAAACAGAGCAGATTCATTTAAGCAAACAGGACTCTCAGACTGAGCAAGCACTGCTTCATTTGGTGGATGCTTCTGACTGATCCTGCTCTTTATGTGCATGTTTTTTAAACTCTCTCTGGGCCATCTAGATACGTTCCCCTTCTGTCGGTCATTTTGTGTAACATTGCTGGGTGTTCATGTCTACCGTGTACTTCTGATATATTTTAAAGAATAAGAAAGAAAAGCTTTGAATTCAATCATCAACAACAACAAAAACGTTAAATATATCAAACTGAACGAGGCAGGATTGTCGTGTAGGATGCTTTTAAGGCTGTTTCTGAAAGTGCTTCAAAGGTAGCATGCAGGTCAGACCTACATAATGAGTTCTAGGTGTTTCCTCTGAATGCATGTCAGAGTGAAGAGGAAGTAAAGAGAGAGGCTGCAGAGGTCATGTTTTTGGTCTTTTAAAGTAACAGATTAACCCCTCAGCCATTACTTTCTTAGAGCAATTAAGATCCCAATCTGAGGAAGAGGAAAACAAAGAGGGCATTAAAGGTCAGGAACGAGGAAGCTCCAGTGTGTGTGTGTGTGTGTGTGTGTGATCACGTCTTAAATGACAGACTCTTACTGCTTACATAACACTGAGAAAGCTGTGGCGCCAGTAAACTGCACGGTAGTCACCACAGCCGATCAGCTTGTGTTCCTCCATTGCAACCAATCCATCCATGACTGCTGCCCAAAACTACCCAGCTCTCAAAGTACTCAATCAAAACAACTCACAAAAAGTAAAATAAGATACAGGATCCCGTCTTTAAGAAAACATTTCACCTTTTTGGGCTTTTGTTAACCTTTTTTTATAGAGTCAGAAATCAGGGAGAGAGAGAGAGAGAGAGAGGGGAAAGACATGCAGGAAAGAAGCCACAGGTATGCTAAGAGTCCGAGCCGCCCACTTGGAGGACTAAAGCCAACGTCCATTGTGCACGCACACTAACCAGTAGGCTACCATGCCCCCATCACCTTTTTGGCAGTTGGTGTGCACACCCCATGTACATAGGCTTGGGCGGCGGCCCAGGTTTGAGTCTGACCTGTGGTTACTTTCCCGTATGTTATTCTCTCTCTCTCTCTCTCTCTCTCTCTCTCTCTCCCCGGTTCTGTCCTCTGTCCTGTCTCTGTTTTTCTTCATTAACAATTTGATTAACTCTGAGATATGAGATACAAGGTGCACGCCTTTCTCTGCAGTATTTTCAGAAATGAGTCTCCACATATTCAGCCTGAACGCTTTTCAGAAGCGTCAGGTTGTTGTATCAGTGAAGCACGTCTTATTGATCAGCTGATCCTGACAGATCAGAGTGAGATGTGGTGTTTTTAAATGATCCTCTGCATTAAAAACATAACTCACTCTGTCTCAGTGATGCTGGTCATGACTGATGTTTACAGTCGGTGCAGTTTGCCTCAGCAGCGTCAGCGTGCAACTAAATACAAAGGACAAACCTGAAGGTAAAATACTGAAAATTTAGAATGTTATAACTTATTTTTTAATTTTTGGGCCTTTTTCAAGCGGTACATTTTGCTCTCATATCTTTACCATTAAAGCCACAGTCCTGTTATGTGTGTTCAGTATAAGCTAAGACAGAGCGATGGGGGGTTAGGGTACAGCACAATTAACAAATAATAATAACACCATCTTCAGTTTGTTACTTAAAGACACGAGTATCTACCCAGCATTAAAAGACAAACTAAAGCCTGGCTCACTCTGCGAGTTTTCACCATTTTCAATTCAGGCAGCATCACACACATATGCTAAACATATTCAAAAACGAGACCTGTAGTGCCACCATGTGGTCAGTTATGCCTAAGCAATTAGCTGAAGGCCAACAGCTCTGGATGACATTTTGTTCATCAACCAACAACAACAACAACAACAACAACAACAACAACAACAACAACAACAACAACTCTTCTTAATGCTTATATGTTTTTTATTCTTCTTTGTATTTAATAACCGATGTCATCATTTCTGCACTGCAGTAGTAATTATGACACACAGTTAGTATATAAGGAGGTTAGGAGTTAGGAAAGGAGGGTCAGGTGTAAGGAGAGAGGAGGGGTTGACAGGTGTAGGAGGATCTGAAGGGGTCAAAGGTCGGAGTTCATTTGAAAAAATTAACAAATCTCTTTCTCAAAGACGGCTTCTTCTCTTTCTTCTGAACCTCCTCCTCCACCTGGTCCTCCATCTTCACCAGTCTCTCCATCAGGCCGTCCATGGACGCCGCGCTCTGCTTCTCTTTGACCTCCAGGCTCGTCTTTATGACCACGATGGAGTGAAGGAGGGAGGACTGATCTCTCTGACTGTCCAGCTCCTCCGTTAGTTTGATGGTGTTCTCCTCCTGCTCAGCCAGGAGACATGACCTCTCCTCGTCCCACTGACGCTGCTGGCTCTGCAGGTTCTTCACTTCAGTCAGTGCCCTCTTTAGAGCGGAGGTTTCTTCTTGTTTAGTGAAGCGTGCTTCAGCTTTCTTACATCGATCTCTTTCAGCTTGTAGAGCATCCCGTAGAACTTTGTTTTGAAGGAGAGCTTCTCTTTCTGCTGACGTCTTCTTTGACACCTCAATGAGGAGAACCTCCTTCTCTTTAGTCGCCTCAGCTGTGTGAGCATGGAGAAGGTCCTTTAACAGCTTTACTTCCTCCTTTAAGGCGGCCTTTTCTGACTCCAGTTGAGTCACTTTGTCCTCATTTTTAGCCATGAGCCTTTGAAGGTCCAGCTCAAGGATTTGAATCAGACCCTGGTTGGTTTCCTGGAGGTAGATTTCAAGGTTATTGGGGTTCATTCCATCAGCAGACTGCTGTTGACTCTCTGCAGGCTTTTGTTGTGTCATGACAGCCTGCAGAAAGTTCTGAGGAGTCTGCTGAGGGTCCTGTGAAATGACTGCAGGTCCAGGAGACCCCTCAGGCTGTGGAAGGGGCCCTTCGCCTGGCAGTGGAGGGAAGTCTCCTTCATCAAGCTGCAGACTCTTGACCTGGTCGATCATCTCTTGGAGAGTTATTCTCTTCCAAGGATTCAGTGGTAGAGGGACATCCTGTGTCTCCTGCTCTGCAGCTTCATCACATTGAGGACTCTCTCTCCTCTCTGGTCTGCAGGCTGCTGGTTGGACAGGCTCATCGTTAGTGACCTTGTCTTCCAGCTCTGAAGGCTGCTTTTCAGGCTGAAACACTGCAACGTCTTCATGACACTCAGCAGGTTTGTCTGAAAGTTGGAGGGCTCCAGCTCCCTGCTTCCAGGAACAGATGAGGAACTTGTTCTTTATTTTGTTCCTGCCTTTCTTGGGATTGGTTTTCACGCTGCTCTCCATTCTATCTCTGTTTGAAGACGCTCTGCTTTGCTCTGTGTCTCTTTGTGTCTCGCTCTGTTGGCTGCAAACTGTCTGACTAAAGAATCTAGAGGATGTCAAAGATGTTTTGGAAGGCGCCATGGTCATTAGAACGGCTCTATGACGTCACAGGACAGAGAGTTCTACATTCTTGTTTTTATTATCATTTAAACATTCAAAATGTTGTTTTGTAAAACATGAGTGTAGAAGAGTTTGAAAATGATAGTAACAAGTGTCTGACTGGAGCATGAAACAGGGAACATACTGAAACATGCTTCTGCATGAAAAAGACTAAGAGCCCCCTTACAGGACCCCCATGTCAGAGTTATGTATTCTATATCACCAAATAAGTTGAACTTGTTCATTACAGCGTGTCCTGACAGCATGCTACACAAGAAAGCATCAGCGACAAAATCAGCTTCATTCTATCGTTTCCTATTGGAGGGTCCGAACTGCCCACGCACCATTTTAACCCTGATGCCCCTTTTCTATTTTGCTCTCTGTCACTTGCATGGACGGGTGAGGAACGAGGAGGGGGCTGCTACACGGCACTGACCCTCTCTCCCCTCCCTCAGCAGAGCGTGTTAGCTTGTTAGCTTGTTAGCATGAATAATATCCACATTATGATTGAAATGTTGACCTTTGACCTGTTTCAACAACAGAAAAAAACGTTACTCAGCTCATGGCGAGCCGTTCATTGACGAGTCTCTGAGTGTTGAGATTTGAGTCAACAGCTCGTCAATACAAAACACCACACTTCAGATTGTCTACCTTCAAAATAAAAGCACCACACTTCAGATTGTCTACCTTCAAAATAAAAGCACCAAACTTCAGATTGTCAACCTTCAAAATAAAAGCACCACACTTCAGTTTGTCTGCCTTCAAAATAAAAGCACCACACTTCAGTTTGTCCTCCTTCAAAATAAAAGCACCACACTTCAGTTTGTCCACCTTCAAGATAAAAGCACCACTCTTCAGTTTGTCCACCTTCAAAATAAAAGCACCACACTTCAGTTAGTCTACCTTCAAAATAAAAGCACCATGTGTTATAATGTTTACAAGAGGAAACTGAAATTCGCAGAGAATGAAATATTTTAAAGATGCAGTGTGGACAGCAAATGTGTGATTCTGCGCGATTGCGACACAATATCAAATGCTTGCATGCATTTGTTGTTGCCAAGCAGTAACCTCTGGTGTTGAAAATGGAGCCGATGTTTATGTGCAAAATCCTGCAGTTCCTCGAGTGTCCACTAGATTCTGGCTGCAGAAGCACAGGAAGTCACATACACACCCACTCTAAAAAGCCTGTTTTTACAGCAGAGATTAACATGTTTACACGGCCGTTTTGGACGGCCCTCGGTTTGTCAGATACGAGAGCAGTTATCAGGTCAACAGGTGTTGCAGTGATGGAAGCGGGCAAGAGAAGTGGTTCAGATAGAAGTGATTGTACCCGACCTAAAAAGCCTCTGCATGTTTCTAATAAGCTCCACGAGCAGAAACGTGCTCAAACTAGGATCAATATTGGAGATGCTTTTGAAAAATGGAGAGAGGTTAGAACACAGAAAGGTTTACAGACCCATGCAGAGCTGGATAAACACTGAAGCTTCAGTGTCCACCACATGGTGCCCTGCGTGAACATGGACTCTAGAGAGGAGGAGGGGGCGAGACAGCTCTCTATAATGTTTTGAATTTGGACTGCAGTACCCATTTTAAACACTAGGTGTCCATATTGCTCCCTTCATATGACACTTTAATTAGTCAGTAATTGAGTGAAAAATACATTTGAAAAGACAAATGCAGCTTACATTTCGTATGATCTGCCTGACCGCCGGTGAGTCAGGGGCGTAGAGGATCTGTCCCATCAGCATGGGCTTCACAGAGTTCCACACAATCCTTGTTGCAGGGTTCGACTCAAGCTCTCTCATCAGATCGTTGCAGAAAGGAGCTACAGGAAAAAGTTAGATTCATTTAATTAATAGAATCTAATCAAAGAGAATATGGAAAAATCTTCCACCATGCATCAACCTCTGGGGCTGAGAAATGAAGCCAAAAGAGAAGTGCCAAAAAAACTGCAGTTCCTCCAGTGTCCACTAGAGTCTGTCTCCTGCAGTGAGTTAGTCCCCATAGAGCTCCATGTTAAAATAAACATGTTTACAGTCTGGTATAAAAACAGTTTGGGTCTCTAGAGCTCATTTCTCTCTTCGACTGTACGGGCTGAATGTTTATACAACCTGTTTACATTATATTAAGACTTAAAGGGATGTGGAATTAGGGGGTGTGGCCTCTTTGAGTTACAGCTGGGAGCTGCTAGCTAAAGTAATTGAGTCCCTGACCTTTAACCTCTGGGCCATGTTTGTGCTGTTGGACCTTTTGCAGATTAGTTCATGTGAATATCAGACTAATAATCCGTCTCTCTGTGTGAGCTTCATAAAGGGTTTAACTCAATTTAACTCAAAGAGGAGTCGTAGGTTTTGTTGTAGCAAAGAAAGATGCATCTAATTTTAAAGCAGAAGCCAAAGTCTTAGATCTCTGATATCTGAACTCACTGGTGCTGTTGTCGTATTCGTAGTGGTCCTGTGTCCTCGCGCTGCTGATTCCCAGGAAGGCTTTGTAGTTATTGTCCTCGTACCAGTTAAAGGACGCGACTCTGGAGAAAGCGCCCTCAGAGTAACCACAGACGAGGCTGGAGGCTGCGCCCATCACCTGCCTGAAGGACAGATTGTTCTGCAGGAGAGGAGTCACCGCCTGCAGGAGCTCCTTGGAGCTGTTCCTCTGGTACAACTGAGGAGAGATAACAAGGACAGCAGGGCTTTAAAAACATAGCAAAGGTTTTTTAGAAGGTCTTTAACGAGACAGGGTCGTGAAAATGTTGGTTTTGATAATTTTCTTTGCTCTGTCACGTTTCGTACTATCAAAGGTCCATGCTGACCTATAAATCTGATTGGTTGGGAAAATATCAGACACACAAACACAACACAAACTGACAGCTTCTAAAACAGTTTGAGGTGTGACGGCCTCGGGGTCAGCATCTCCACCTGTTTGTTCTTCCTCTTTGCTGGCTGTGTTTTCAACCACAACAACAACTTTTAGTGGACGCACTTTGATTGGATATTTGTTAATGAACAGGATTCCTATGGAGCTGCTGAGAAGTCGCGGTGTTTGAGATGCATGGTTTTCACAACATGGTGCCACTAAGTTTCCTTCACATGTATTTAAAATCTAAAAGCAACTTTCTGTGTGTTACGGTTTTTTAATCATCAAAAGATCTTGGAATCCTCTTCCTGCGATATAAAAGGAGAACGGCTCTGTGGCTTCCTGTCGTCTGTCTGGACGTCGGACAGTCTGTCGTCGAGACACAGGACAGGATATCAGCGACACGGAGGGACCCATGGAAACATCCACAACAAACAAAGCAGTGACACCTCAGACCCTCCTACACCCCATCTTTAAAGACAGGTAGACCACAAGTTACTAAACACTGTTACACAATTACAAACCAACGCTCTGTTACACAAGTCACACTTAAGTTTGGAATAACTCATGAAGCTGACACCACAAACAGACTATTCAGTCCTGTCTGATCTTTAACCTTTCCAATATGTGCAGCTTCACCTGTTCTGCAGCTTCAGTGTTTTTTTCCACAGGGATGCTCCCATAATGATGATGTATCTGTTTTTGAGACTAACGAGGCGCGTTCTAGATTTAGCCTTCCTCATACGCACTGAGTGATGTCCCCCACCGTCTGTGTTTACGTAAAAACTCAGGCAGGAGGAAGCAACTGTTTCCTGCTGGCTAAAATTAGCAGGCTGTGAACTTTGGAGTGGATCTGGACTGTAGCGGAGTCTTACCTCTCTCAGTTTGTCTGAGGCCGCGGACATGACCCGGACCCACGAGCGGATGTCGATGCCTTCAGAGTGTTTGTCCAGCTCAAGAGGAAGCTGGAAAGAAACATAAATACATCATGGTGACATGAAAACTTCAGCATATCTTTCACTGAGTGCACATGTTAAATTGCCACCTGCAGTTATCTCCTTCTCAAAACTAACATCATATCTTCTCTAAACCCAACTTTTTCCTGATGGTAAGAGTCGTTACATCCTCCTGACGGTAAGAGTCCAGTGTTTCCCCTACCATTATATTAGGGGGGCGGCCCCCCCTTGAAGGTCAAGTCAAAAAAAAGATTTATTTTTGGGCTTTGTTTCTTTATTGTAGAGATAGAATAGTTTATACAGTCGGAAATCAGGGAAAGAAGTCATTTAAGGATACCTTTCCGATAGAAAAGGACAGCTGTCATTAAAAGTAACACATGAACACCAAGATTCCTTCAAGTGTTTGTGTCAGCATTCGTTTAATATTTATTTGTGTGTGTTTGTTGGCATATCACACTTCAGGCCACCCCTGCATGAGTCAGAGCCTCAGTCGGGCCCCCCCAGTCCCAAAAGGTCTGGATACACCCCTGGACATCTGTCTAAAAGCTGACAGGCTCACACGGGTCTGACATTCAGCAGGTTGAAAGCCAGGAGCAACAGATAAACAGATGTTAGTATTTTAATAAGAGCTCTGACTCATAGGGTGGGAACATTAATCTCTCAGGGAAAACCAAGAGAATCAAGTCTGAATCAAACTGACCCCCCCGGATGTATCAAGGGGTGTTTAAGGAGTCATATAAGAATGAAAATATTTTACGGATGGTAAATGGACTTGAGCTTCCTTTGAATCGACAAGATACACAAACAAATGCTAAATAGACTTGAGCTTGCATATTTCTTATTTCTAGGTCACACCTACACATTCACACACTGATGGTAGAGGCTGCTGAGTAAAGAGTCCATCAGTATTAATTCATCCATTCATACACATTCACACACCACTGACGAAGTAGCGGGAGCAATTTGAGGTTAAGTGTCTTGCTCATGGACACATCGGACATGTAGCTGCAGGAGCTGGGGATCAAACCCCTGACCTTCAGGTTGAGAGGCGACCGACTCTATCGACTGAACCACAGCCGCCCTTCTGCAAAAAATACCTAATAGTTGGTTTTAATATAAGTCCAGCCTCTGACAGGGGCAAATAGCCAATCACAGTTCAGAATTGTTGGGCTGGCACCTAGGGGGGCCAATCAGACTTCTAAGGGAGGTTATGCGACCCGTCTGGACACGTCCATGCAGATGTGATCCGGGAACAAACAGCTGCTGTGAATACAAACACGAGCTGCACAACGAGAGTATCATAAACCAAAAGAGCGATGTAGAACAATAAATACGATGTTGTCAGACTTCATACTGATGTACACAGTGAAATATAAAAGAGCAGACGACACGCTCTGTGGTTATACATTAATAATTACAAATATTATACGCTGCCAAATATGGTCGTGTCTTATGCCAGCTTAATCTACAGACCTGCAGCCAGCTGTTGGCTCGGCCTCCTGTCATCTGACATCTCAGTTCTCTGTAAATAAGATAATCAACTTGGCCACGTCCCAAATGGTACTAATCCACCCACAGCTCTATACTGTCCTCTCCTATTCATGAGCTGAATGAGTCACTCTGCCAAACGATGCCTGATTAAAACATGACACTGGTGTAACATTGATGTTTCTATCAGTTGGATATGGCAGGACCAGAAGTTAGGGCTCAGTGAAGTTTCACTGTCGCCGTGTGAGAGTATTTTCAAACTATTTTCCCTTTTTTCAATATATACTGTATTCTGGGGTCTAAATAACAAATAAGTACAAATGATCTGACCTGTTTTTGTATTTTGACTTAGCCTGATGCCTCACGTTCACGACTTTTGGTGTGCTGACCTTTCCTCATTAACAGAGGTGTCTAAAGTATTGACATTCATTACTCAGGTAGAAGTATAGATACTAGGGTTTAAAAAGACTTCTGTAGAAGTTGAAGTATCAACTCAAGCTTTTTACTCAAGTAAAAGTGTAAAAGTACTGGTTTCAAAACTACTTCAAGTATAAAAGTAAAAGTAATGTAAGGGTGAAAAAAATGCCATTAAGGAAAAAAGCTTAGGCCGCACCACAGCGTGTCGGAATGGTATATGTTTATACTTCTCATCCAACCACAATCAAATTTACTCTATCCGGATGGCGCGATTTATCTGGATAGGTTGTTTTTTTTGTGTGTGTTTTTTTGAATGATGAATAGCCGGAATGAAAACAAGCCGAAATGAAATAGGAGTAACAAGGCTATTTTTAAAATGTAAGGAGTAGAAAGTACACATAATTGTGTGAAAATGTAAGGAGTAGAAGTAAAAAGTCAGCTGAAAAATAATTACTATATTACTGTATAGGTACCCAAAATTTCTACTTAAATAAGATAAGATGTGTTTATTGTCATTGTACAAGTACAACAATATATTGTTGGAGCAAGCCTGTAGATGCCTAATATCAGAAATATACAAATATACAAATACTAAAACCAAATATTCAAATAAGAAATACAATTAAATAATACGATATAGTATACAATATACATTTCATTTGCAGGTGACAGGTATAGAATAAATATATTGCACTTAGTTATACAGGACTCCATAACAAAGTATTTGTACTTCGTTACTTGACACCTCTGCTCATTAAACAAATTGAACTTCCTCTTGTTCTGCAGTCTTTGCTTTTGGGTTCAATGTGATAGAAACAAACGTACTTATTTGTATTCAAGCAGCAACAGCAATGACTGTTTTTTCCAATGGACTCTGGTGTTGTTGCAGAGAGAGGCTTCTCTGGTTGAATCTTCCTCTTTAAAAAAAATAATGTCTATCTCTGCAGGGATTCTGTCAGACACTTGGAATAACAATCAGA